TAGTCAACATTGCAAACGTCATCTTTATCATTTGCACAACAACAACAACCGCAGCATTGACATTACCGGCAATAGCGGTCGTCGCAGCAACAATGTATGTGGCTTAGCAATTTAGTAGCGGTTAGGGATAAGCCCAAGCTGTGTTTCTTTCTGCCTCTGTTTGCCCGTCTACATATCAGTCTCTCCTGCGGTGCATGAGTTAGTACTCTCGTCGTTCGACCGCCAGCCCGCTGTTGCTGCGGTAAATTAATGTGGCACGTGAAATTCCGCGATGACGGTTCTTATCTGCGGAGAACCTGCTTTTTTCCTGCGTTATCTATAATTGAATTGAGTTTTTTTCGCTCTATTGCTTTTATATTTTCTGCCTCTTGCTGTGGCTGCATACGTTTTTGTAGCTTGGCTGAGTGCTTTTCAATTTGCTGAGTAACACAGCTCTTGGAATGCGAGTTGGTAAGTTCACAAAAAAATTAAATTAATTGAATATAAGGGAAAAATTCGAAAACAGCCAATATAAAAATTGATTTTCTGGATTTGAATTAAATGACAAAAAAGTTGAAAAAACTAAAAAAAGCCAAGAACTGGAGTTAATACATACAAATTTTAAAACAATTAAAATTAAAAACAAAATTTTAAACTAACCAAATCTAAAGACATTTTGAAAAACAACTTTTGTAAACTTCCAAAAAGATTATCAAACTCAAAAACAAAATTTGTTTTCATCTAAAAACAATCACGGAATTTTAATCAAGTCTTTAAAAATATATAAACAAACTTTTCAATATTAGACACAAGGTATGTTGAGCAATGTAGAAGAAAAATAGAATTAAGTTAAATAAAAAAAATCAGATAAAAATAATAATTTAAAAGCAATTTTAAAATATAAAATAGATGTAAAAGAATAAGAAAATCAAAAATACTTTATAAAGAAAGTTAAAAATATAGAGAATTTAGAAATATAAAAATATTATATATATATTTTTTTTGCATAAAATTTTATTAAAAATAATTACAAAAGTATTTTAAAAGCAGAGAGAAGAAATGTTATAATATACAAAGAACAATAGAATAATTATAAAAACGTAAGCTGTAAAAAATATATTTGTAGGAATATTAAAAAATAATAATAAATAAAGATGAAATAAAAAACAACATGCAAGTATGAAATAAGAAAATAAAATAATTAATATAAATTATAACAAAATATAAAATTAAAAATAAGTATAAAATAAAAACAAATAAAAATTAAAAAATTTTGAAATATGAAATTAAAAAAATAAAATATAATATAAAAATGAAATAAAAGAAAACAAATAAAAATTAACATGAACTATATAAAAATATACCATTTAAAACAAAAAAATAAATAAAAACGTAAACAGTGAATAAAACAAGGGAAGTGAACCAGTTTTGAACCGAACCGGTATATGTACATATAAGTACAAAATTTAAAATTTAAAAAACAATAAAATTGAAATAAAGTGAAATAACTTCAAACTAAAGAAACAAAAATAGAAAAATGTTAACAAAAGTTTACAAGTTTACAAAAAAGTATACACATTTAAAAATTATTAAAATTGATTAAAAAAAGTTAAAAGGACTAAAAGCTAGTTTCGCGAACGAAATTAAAAAAAAAATGGTGAAACCGCGAGTTAGAATTAGAAATTTTAGTAAATAATTTGGAAAAAATAGTTATGTATAAAATATTTGAAGAAAGCAATTAGAAATACTTACAGAACAAAAAAAAATCCTAAACACATCAGATTTTCCCTTTCCTGCCACCACAGCAGTTCAAATTCCAATTTTCCTTTTCCAAATTTCTGGGTCATTGCGGCTGCAAAGCAGCACGCTGCGTAATAATAAATGTTATGAAAAGTATTTCTTAGCACCCAACAACAAGTAAGCTGCACAAAGCGCTAAATATAAATTTCCCTAACAAAGATATTTTCAATTTAAAATATCCCTTTTGCGCCCCACTTTTGTGGCGTCTGTGTCACCAGCGCCCAACTGACAGACAGCAAGCAGCCTGACAGCTACAAATGGTGAAGACCCATGAAGTAGCAATGCGCGCACGCCCTCCCGGCTTGCCCACCTTCCAGTCAGCTTGCATTCCATTTTGCCTGATCAGACTGGAGCGGTGCAAGAGCCCTAACTACCACCGGCACTACCGAATAGCACGCCTACTTGTATGTAAGTAAGTATGTTCGTGCCAGTAGACGCCTAAATATAGATGTCGTCAGCGTTGCAACGAATATCACATAGTTTTTTTTTGCTTAGCTGCTGTAGGGAGTGAAAACTTTGGGATCCGCGCTGACAAAGGGTGTTGCTGCTGAAATTGAACTTTAATCTTAGGCGCGCAACATGCAACAAAAATGCATACTCTTTCACGTTCAAATGACTTGTGTTGGCGCTGTCTGCTGATGTCTACATACACATTTGTGCATCTTTTGTCTGCTGTCCCATGTTGCACGCGATCTGGCATTGCATTGTTACATACAGAGGCGCGCAACACGCGTGGACAATGCAAACGTATTTTTAGCGTATTTGATTGTTGAAGACTCTAGTTGACTATATGATGCTGCGCTGCAACTTCTTCATTCTTCATTAAAAAAATATCGCTATTATGGCAAGCGGCGGCGACTGTGGGCCAACCTCTGGATAAAATACGATGAGCAAAGTGGTAACAATTTATAGGCGGCAACAAATGAAAATGGCTACAAAAATGGAAAAAAAAACAATGACGCTGAAAATTTATTAATGCAATTTTGGTTTAGCGCTTGTGCTGTGACGCCGCGCTAGGAAAATGATCGCTGCCGCTATTGTTGACGAGCTTGAATGGCTGGCTGGTGGCACCCTGTTTGGCTAGCGACCAGTGCTAACACCTCTGCCACAATCTTTGTTGTTGAGCGCACTCAATGTAGTTGCATACTCATGCATGTGTGTTCAAGTGTGTTTCGAGCTGAGTGATCGTGCCACTGCCACTGCTGATCGTATGCCTGCGATTTGCCTGACTGCTGCCACCTCTCACGACGGACGACGCGTTTTTGACGCGATCAGTGGCAACATCTTTGCAACATAATCCGCCACGCCACATATTGCTTTTGCCACTGCGCCTGTTGGCTGTCACCTAAAATAAGCGCGCGCGCGCGCTCCTTTTAAGGTATGGAGTTTTTGAGGAGCGCTAACGCGCGCTCCGTGCCACCCGCTTGCTTTCTTTTCGCCGCGCCACTTTTGTGTGCTGTTGCTGCAACTTGCTGCTCGCAGCGCGCTGTGTGTCGTCTGATTTGCTTCCTGCCGTGCCCATATTTCTTATGATTCGCCTACTGTTTTTTTTGGCTTTGCAACTGGCTTTTTGGCCAGCAACTGCCAATAATACAATGTTTTTGCCAATGCACAATTTATTGCAATATTTATGTATTTTCAATATTTGTTGATGTTGTTTTTCGTTTATATTAATTTTTTTTTTTTGCGCGCGCTCGTTTGCAATTCAATTCAGCATTTGCACTTGCGTAGCGTGTTTCTTCTTCTTCCGAAATTTTTCGTATGCTGCCGATTTTTGATTTGTGACTTGCAATAATTTCCTCTTCAGCGCGCCCAGTTGGTTGCCGCCGCGTGGTGCTTGTATTGTATTATTGGTGCATCCATTCACCGACGCGCAAGCGCATTCAAATTGCTAGAACGCTGGTATTTCAATGCCTTTTTGCGCTTCAATGCTTGCTACCTCAACTAAAATTTTACAAAGGCGATTATTATTATTTTTTAATTATCAATATTTCGGCATATTTTTTGACCCTTCTCTCGAAACTGAATCGCATGCCAGACATGAAATGACTTAACTGCAGTACAGCGTAACATTTCCGACAGCCCACGTCTATCGGAAGAAAAATATGGCTACAGAAATTAGCGTATACAAAAAATATGTATTTCTGTAACAAAACTTGCTTGTATGTAAATGAAAAACTTAAGCTAGTTTGCCGTCCATTTGTGAAAAGCACGCGTCGAAGACTGCATTGATTAACAAATATTTTTACATTAATCGCGTGGTGCCTTATCAATGTAGGAAGCGCTGCACACCCACGCGCAATTTTTTTTTTCTTATTCAAATATTGTAAAAACAAATATTTACCGTCGCGCACAACCTGTTTAAGATTTCAAAAATCGAAAGCAAACTCTTAAGCCACAATAATCATTGGCAGATGGATAGCCAAGGCGTCGGCGCATCCTCCTCTGCATTTTTTTACTCAGTTGCTTTTAGTGCCTTCATATCACATTAAATAGCAAAATAAAGCTGTAAAAAAATATATATTTCTAGCTCAACGAGTCGGGCATTAATATTTTGTTGTTGTTTTAATTTTTCTACAAATTGATTTTTTAGTTGTTGTGGGAATTGAGGGCGCTTTGGCGCAAAAGAGCAGCATACACGCATGCGCTCATCCACACTTGGCCACGCTCCGCTACTACCACTATGTACCAGCAACGCTAACCATTGCCACCATCACTACTAGGAGTATACCCACAGTTGCTATTTGTGGCGCGCGCATATTTGCATTTCAAATGCATGTAACTGTTGCGCATGCGCACCATCCGCTGTTCGCGCGCGCTTACTCGTTTACTACAGACCGTTACTTATGCATTTAGCGCTACTTGATTGCATTATTCATAAACATACATATACGGCGAGCAACTAACTAACCAAGCAAGCCACGCCAGCCTAAGCAACACCAATGCGCTGCAGCAGTTAAGCGGCTCTACAGTCGTTCAGCCTAACCACGCCAGCGTGCCACCGCAGCAAGTTTGCTTTTCTACATGTATTTCAGTTTTTTATCTGGTTTTATATTCGCCACGCCGTGTAGGCGTCCATTTTTCATAACGCTTTGCAGCGCTTTTTCACTTTCAAACTCAGCTGTCTCGTCCGTGTGTGTGTGTCGTTGGTCAGTTTTTTCCCTACCAAATACATAATCTTGTGATTATCACAATTTATTAATTTGTCACTAATTCAAATTTGCAATTTTTTCATTAGTGGTCTGGGGTTTTTTTTACTAGTGAAACCGATGGTTTTTACATCCATTGCTGTACGCTTGTATTTCCATTGCACCCTGAGCTTTATGCACTTTTAATTTATGGATAATGTTTTCTTTGTTCACCATGATCATCACTTCAAATCAAATGATCTTCACTTCGAGGATCATCATTTACTTGCACCGTCTTTGCAGCCGAAAAATTTCTCTTTGCTGCTATTTGTTTAGTTTTTTTTTGTTTTTCTTTTCTCTGCCTCTGTTGAACGGAAATTCTCTGCTGATAAAAATTGTTGATCGTGCTCATGGCGCTTGCGCACGATCGTTTTTATTCATCGCTTGTTTTATCGTTAAAAGCGATCAACACCTTAATATTACATCCGCTTGACATGGTTTCATGTTTAAATGCTGTATAGCAGTATTTTTATGTTGTGTAGTTACATGCGATCAGTGATTTTCGTTTAATATTTTATTCTTTTCATCATCATGGCTTTGAGAAGTCTCGAAAGTTCAAATACATACTTGCGTTGTAGTTGTATTTAGAGCAACGTGCAGGCTGTGCGAATGCTTTAAATTTTATAGCTGGACTGTTTTGAGGATCTTCACTAATCAGTGCTTATATCATGAGCGATCATCACGTGATTAATGCATTCTTTCGTTTAAAAATATACGAGCAATGTCAAAACGGAAAACTTGAAACTTAGGAAGTGTTGGGGTTCCTATTTAATTTTTTTTAAATTGCAGTTTCTTTGCAGTTGCTTGCTGCTGATCGTAAGTTAAGTTGAGATAAACCCCAGTTTTCTCCACTTTTGTGTGATCAACGAGAATCAGCTCAAGCTCGCTTTGATAATCTAAGCTTTATATTGATTGTTTTTTTTTTTTAATTCACTGCTAAACTAAATTCGCGTTTTTGTGATAGATAATCATCAGTGNAATGCATTCTTTCGTTTAAAAATATACGAGCAATGTCAAAACGGAAAACTAGAAACTTAAGAAATGTCGTTTGTAGTACAAATTTGGGGCTCCTATTTCATTTTTTTTTTTTAAGTTTTGGTTCTTTTGGTTCTGAAGTGATCTAAAATGATCAATGATATATGATTAGTTGTTTTCATGTTATGGAAATCATCGGCTGCCCAGAAGTGTATTGCTTGCTGCTGATTGTAAGTTAAGTTGAGATAAACCTCATTTTCCCCACTTTTGTGTAATCAACGAGAATCAGCTCAAGCTCGCTTTGATATTCTAAGCTTTATATTTTATTTTTTATTTTTTTTTATTTACTGTTAAACTAAATTCGCGTTTTTGTGATAGATAATCATCAGTAGTCTCTATAATTGAATGCCCTACGATCGACGAAAACATTTTTTAAGATATAATTTTTAAGCAATAAAATTAAGTCCGATTACTATGTACTCATTTATTGCATCTAATTAAGAAGTATCATATTTCTTTGGTTCTCCATTAATTAATTATTTTTTTGNATTAAGTCCGATTACTATGTACTCATTTATTGCATCTAATTAAGAAGTATAATATTTCTTTTGTTCTCTATTAATTAATTATTTTTTATTTTTCTCTTACAGGGCACGTTCACATTGATCGTCGAGGCGTTGCATGACACAAATAACAGCGCCAATACGCGCTCAAACAGTAAGTTTTTGTTAAATATGTAACATTATTAGTTGAAATATTCGATATGTTAAATGAGGTTTATTGCTGAGATTAGAAAACAAAAGGAAAAGCACGATCACTCAACGGAAAGTGAGAATGTTATGTGAGATTTTATTGAGTGAAATGATTTTGCTCTGAAAAGTTTACGTGAAGGAAATTTTGTGTATCTTGACAGTTTATTATTTTATTTATTTTTTTGTGTAAGCATCGGAAGTGATCTTGTCGCCTAATGCATAGTATGATATCTAAAAATTTCGCCTTTATTTAAAAGCAAGTTGAGGCACCGCGTGGTGCAGGCAATTTTTTAACTGATCATGCAATTGTTTGTTCATAGGCTGTAGTGATCTTGTCATACAAGAGAAAAAATTCACTATAATAAGTTAAACGGTCAAGCCCTTCCCAGCGCTCAAAAATAATTTTATTCATAGTCAATTTCTTTGCAGTTCATGCAATGTTTTGCAGTTTTGCAAGTGATCTTGTTGATCTTGGTCATCCCTTTGATAGCAAGTANATAACAGCGCCAATACGCGCTCAAACAGTAAGTTTTTGTTAAATATGTAATATTATTAGTTGAAATATTCGATATGTTAATGGAGGTTTATTGCTGAGATTAGAAAACAAACGGAAAAGCACGATCACTCAACGGAAAGTGAGAATGTTATGTGAGATTTTATTGAGTGAAATGATTTTGCTGAAGATTTATAGTTTTCCGCTCTGAAAAGTTTACGTGAAGGAAATTTTGTGGATCTTGACAGTTTATTATTTTATTTATTTTTTTGTGTAAGCATCGGAAGTGATCTTGTCGCCTTATGCATAGTATGATATCTAAAAATTTCGCCTCTATTTAAAAGCAAGTTGAGGCACCGCGTGGTGCAGGCAATTTTTTAACTGATTATGCAATTGTTTGTTCATAGACTGTAGTGATCTTGTCATACAAGAGAAAAAATTCGCATCTTGGTCATCTCTTTGGTAGCAAGTGATAGTAAAATTTCAATTCTTGAGACATTATTTAAAACCAAAGTGAGACAGTGGGTTTTGCTGACATATGTTTAACAGATCATTAAATTTTTTCATACTATAAGCTGCTCAAGTGATCTTATAGATGTTATAGAGCTTATGATCCTCCAATTAATATCTGATCTTCGAGATTTGAAACAAAACTGTTTATAAAATTCACTCGAAAATTTATTATTTTCTTCTATGCTCATAAATATTTATCAATCTTCCAACTGTTTATGTATNAAGCTGCTCAAGTGATCTTATAGATGTTATAGAGCTTATGATCCTCCAATTAATAGCTGATCTTCGAGATTTGAAACAAAACTGTTTATAAAATTCACTCGAAAATTGGTTATTTTCTTCTATGCTCAAAAATATTTATCAATCTTCCAACTGTTTATGTATTTTTTTTCATAAAAAATTTTCTAAACCGATCCTGAAAAAAATGTAATACAGTAAGTAAGCGTTTTTATATTTTAAAATCGTACTTTTTGTTCAAAATAAAATTGAAGCGGCGTTTTTCCCCAAATATTTCCAAGCAGATTTTTGTTATTTTTTTTTCTTTCATAAAGATCTTTTAAGTGATCTTGTGATCGAGAACGCGTATTCAAAGTAAGCAAGTGCGTTAAATTTTTCAACTTTTCTTTTGTGCTCAAAACTAAATTTATTTTTAATCAATTTTGCAACTGTTTATGTATTTTTTTTTTTAATAAAAACTTTTCTAAAGCGATCTTGCAAGTCCTAAATTCTCAACTGTTAATTTTATTCAACATTAAATTAAGGAAGCGCTTTTTCCTGCTCACTTTTTGACTGTTCATGTCTTTTTCTCTACTGATCTTGCCAGCTCTAGTGTCTACCTCTATTTCACATAATAAATGTGATCACATTACCTTTCTAATTTCAAATTACTCCTGCTACCCTTACAAATGCCAATCAATTTAGCTCACTTCCTTTAAGCATAGCATTCGTTTCGAATTCATGGCGCTTCCTTGAACGCGTAGCACATGAAAACGCCGCATGATCGCTTAAATTTTTATACGCATATAACCATATAATTGCTTCCTTTGCCTCAACTCTTAACAAAAAAATATTATTAATATCCTGTTTGTGTCATCCTTTATTTCGGTGTTGTGCGCGCATCCTGTCGCAACTCAAACGGCAAAAGTTATTATGATCGTCATAGCTTCACTGGCTGGTTAGCTGGCAGACAGCAAGCAGGATC